CCGACAGACACCAAGCATCTCCTGGACAAGAGGAGACTGGCATAAAAATCATCCTGTACAACATCAAAGAAAGGGTATCCATTAACCTCACCAGTTCAGGAGCAAATGGCAGAGTAAAACCAAACTGCGGTAAGATCTTGGGCTCGGATAGAGAAAACCTTGGCAAGATCGTCTGTGCAGAGCGTCAGCCAACAGACCTCAACAGCTGGTCGTCAAATGTGTTCAGATCAACTCCAAACACACAACTGCGGGTATTTCCAACAATGTAGATGGCCAAAACACGAGGGGTTTTTTGCCTTTAAAACAATATCTGTTCCATTTATAGAAAATAAATAAATAGAAAGGGTGGGGGAGAGGAGAGGCTGCATTGAAATCTATGAGAACAGCGGGACAAGGCACACCTGGTCTTTGTGGGACTGAGACGTTGCACTTCACCCATGTAAAGCACATCTCTGCTACCCCTTCTCCTCTTGGAATACAGGACTATCTAATTTTTTACTAACTTGACTAAAAAGGGATTAAACAAGAAGAAAGTAGCGACATTTACTGACAATTAAGAAGGGATAAAAATTAAGTGATAAGTTCCTGAAATGACATGCATCTTCCCATTCACACGGACATTCCCACACAGGCGTCTCTGTTATCTGTTTCTACGCGGTTTAGAAAAACAACCACAAACACCACATTTTATGCATCTCTGCAGCATCTGGTACCTGACGAAACGCAGACCAAGTGATGCCTTGCCCCTAAAAGAAAACTGCTTTTAGTTTAGCCCTCTTTGCTCTCAAATCCCTGTGAATAAGCTTGGTGCTCTGGCCAAAACAGAAATTTGAGAAATCAGGCCCTTCACCAGTGAGGTTTATTTATTAAAACACGTACTAAAACTAGTAGCCAATTTCTGCAAGGGTACGAACCACAGCACCAGTAAAAGTGGAAGCTGGTATAAGCTGGTGCTGACGAGTATATAAATTTGGTAGCCTTTAAAAAACACGGCTATGAAAGTAGTGGACCACGTGAAACGCAAGCTGTTTGCAGCAGTGAACAACGGACGTGCTTTACAGACGAGAGGCGTTATTCTCCTGTAATAGCAAGGCAGCAGATCTAGCGAGCTCTGGAAAGTATGCTGATGTAAAATCCCTGTTTCAATTTACTTAGGAACAATGGTACCTTTGGATGCCTTTTTATAGACAACTATATTCTACAAGCCTATCATGCACATACACGGACATTCTTTTAATATTGGTGTTGTCAACTCACCTGATTTATCAGGAAGGGTAACACACTTGAGTCCAGGAACATCAGAAATGTAAAAATTCCAGACCTTAATTCAAAGTCTAATGAAAATAACGCAAGTATGCCCAGAAACATTTGGCACGGCCTTTATCCGCCCTTTTTATGTCAGTAGGCAATGCTGTGAGGTTGAAGGTGGTCAATCAGCTTGACTTAGAGGTTTATCATCAGGAAGACCTGAAATCCTTCTCTGGGCCTCGGAAAGATCACAAGTGGGAAGCCAACAATAGATTTGTCAACAGCACCTGGCAGGGAATGCCAGGTGCTCATTGTGCCTTCTGTTTTTGAATACTGGTTGTGACAGTGACTATTAGCTGCAGTTAGACATTAAATGTCAAAACAAAGCATTATTAGATGAAGAGCACATGCAAAGGAGACTTCTCCACAAGCACTAAGAAGCTACAGCTTGAAACGTGTTAGCTCTGTTTAGTTCTCTACCCGGAAAGACTTCCACTGTCTACACGCACTTCTGCTCCTCCAAACTCACGGCAGTCCTTGCAACACAACACGCAAAATATGGCCAAGCAACACCCATGGGAAGCCACAAACCACAGCCTTTGAAGGATTCTTTTTTTCCTTTGTCCTTCATATTTCAACATCTTATTTTGCAACCAGAGATTTAAGGCATTTTTTCTAACCTTGTCAAAAGCAATTTGAACTTCAGACTTAACATCTAGAAGCAATTGTGACAAAGGCTCTTTATAAACAGAGCCCAACAAGCTTAGATCTTCACTGCTACGATCTGTCACAGGCAGAACACGCTTAATGTTTTCAGTTAATGTTCCTCAGGTCAGCAAAACTCCTTCCTCCAAACTCCAAAGGGCTTCAACATAAATGAAGATCTGAAGAGGCTGTATGCTGGTTGGTGCTGTTTCTCAACAGCTTTCAGCCACCACAGCACAGCTGACAGACACGTGTGCTGCAGCACTGGTTTTATTTGGGTTGGGAAGAAGGAGAAAGAGGGGAGAGGAATGAAAGGAGAGAAGAGCCACACGCAGGGATGCATATTCCTTAAATTTTTTTTCTCTGTCTCCTGCTCACAAACCAAAGCAAAAGAAAACGGAAAGAAAAAACACACCATGCCAGAGGAAACAAAACAAACAGGCTCTTAATTCTTTCGAACAGAACAAACTACTAGAAACTGCAAGATGGAAGAAAAATCCCATTTTCGATGTAAATATTCGATTTCACATTCTTCTTTCCCTGTTAGGTTATAAAAAGAATAGTATTTTTCTAAATAAAACCTCAAGAAAGAAAAAATGAAATGAGAGTGTAAGAACTCCTGGTCCCATTACACCAGCAAGCAAAACCATTTACCATGCTTGAGATGCACGTTTCTTGATGGTTTAAAAATAAACTTCAGACAGCCAAGTGCAACGCTTGCTTCCACACGAAGGAGGTTACCGAGCATAAAACAAAAGCAACGAAAAGCTAACCTAGGGCTCCTCATTTTGTTTTTGATAGCAAGATGATGAGCGTAAGGTTACTCCTTTCCTTACAGCTGAGGAGAGAAGAAAGAAAGGAGTCGCCAGCTGCCCGCTGCCTTGCAGCTCACACACTTAGCTCCGAAAGAGGGGGTAAGAAAGGAAGGTTCACGGCACGGGACCACGCAGCGCAGAATCTCTCCCGCAGCAGAACGGATGGAAGAAGTTCATGCTCTTGCCCGCAATGCAGTTTCCTCTCTTCCCCACTGCTGATACAGCTGTTGGTTAATTTATATTAGATTGCTTCAACATATCATAGCCTAGCCCCACACACATTACTACAAGCAGGGAGGGGCAAGGGAGGAAGAAGAGAAGCTACCAGTAAAACAGACCTAGGACTGAAAGGACAGAGTCAATTTTGTATATTTAACTTTTCCAGCAGTTAAGTTAATGTGGCCTAATGTTCCCAGAGCAGATACAAACTCAAGCCTGTCCAAAATGAGTTGGCCCTCCACCAGCAAACACAGCCAACCGGCAACAACTCAAAAGAGGAATCGGTAGAACCACAAAGGCTCCCTGCCTTTACACCACCAGGAACAGGCAGGCGAGCAGGAAAGGTCAATACGCTCCCATCCCAGCCTGCCTGAGGGACACAGAAGGACTATCACTACACACGTGTTGGGTACTGCGTCCTGTGGGCAGCCTGCCTTAATTTTCCTGTGGCTAACCACAGAAGAGGTAATGAGTTTCAAGGCAAGAAACACCAGAGTGAGTTATTTCAACTAGACAGCTGAAGCTATTTAGGGAAGCATTAGATCTACACAGAAAGTGTTTCCTTCTGTCCCACTCTCTCGTACATCCAAGTCCGAGTTATGAATTCGAATATCCTAGAAACACAAAGGATCCTTCAGTCTAGGTCTAGAGCTGCCACTGCTGCTTCACAGGCCAAACTCCAACATCTCCCCCTCCTGTGCTGTCCTTGCAATTCACTTTCCAACGCTGGGAAGCAGCCTCCATGACACGGGCTCCTTACAAAACAAAAAAAATTACATCTGATGTCACATCAACCGTTGATCAGGGAACTGCAATCAGATTTTGCTTTCCTGATACTGCATCTTGCAGTAGAATACAAAATAGTTTTTGTGAAGGGAAATCAATTTATACAATTGTATGATTACATGTAAAACCTCAATTACGAGCAGAAGACAGTTGTGAGCTAGTATTATCACAGGGAATGCACGACATTCTCTGTGATTTCCTACATTTAAAGACTCCAAAGTATGCAAGCTAATATGAAATTAAAGGCAAAATATCTTGAAAAGTTTTTAGCCTATGGTCAATTTCCAACCACTAAAGCCAGTGGTTATACTTTAACCAGTATAATCACCTGACAGTTGCAGAAAAAGTTAGCAGTTATGGTAGGTCTCGCACGCCTTTTTCCTCACTGATGACGAGCATGCTGAACTGAGTTCTTAGTTGTAAATACACAAATTCAACATCCACCTTGAGGATGGCTGTGTTAGTTAACTTTTATCCCACTGTAATACCTACTGGAACACCAATTGATCAATAGCTCAACGTCTAAAGACATTGAAAAAAACAGGGCACTCCGCACAGCCCAGTGTACGCACACCATTCGCCTGCGTGGCTTCTGGTGTCAGCTTCCAGAGCCGAAAAGAAAGCCTAAATAAAGGAGTAGCTTTCCATACATCCTTCCAGATTTAGAGCTAAGTGATGGTAGATGAGTATGAAAATAGAATAAAAAGCAGCCTAGAGCATTCAAGCCACCAGGCTGTGAAGTCTTTTATAAAGCATTCATTAATTCCACAGTTTGACAAGACTGTGTATGTTTTTAATTAATGAAAGAAAATCTGCTTATGACTTGCTGTCCTGTTCAATTGCAGTCAGTGCTCTAAAACCCCTGCAAAGGTTGTCGCTCCTGGGGAAAACAAAACAAAACACCATGTAAAGAAAAAAAGCCAACTAACTGTCAAGTTTTTATGACGGGTGTTTTCCAGAGTCCAAGATCTTTACAGTATCCTGTCACCTTCTATCATCATTTGCAAAATCCTGAGAGCAAGTAAAGAGGAGACACTTAGGGGATGTTGGGAAGACAACCAATGGAAACCCCACCTACTGACCAAGGAGTGAGTTCTGCTCCAACAGCAGATGCACAGCTTTCCCTCTGGGCCAAGCAGTCAATCCCATATAAAATATAGTTGTGGGGTTTTGTTTTTTGTTTGGGGTTTTTTTTTCATTAGCTGTTTTGGTTTTGGTTTTTTTCCACTATATCCACTGGCAGCATTTAAAGCAGGAGGAAACCATGCATGCAATCTAGAAGCCTTTAAATTAGACAGGGGCAGAGTATCTCACCACAGCTCAACCCAACTCCTTCCCAAAACCCAAGTTTTTGCAGAACGCTAGATAAGTGAACCCTTGAGAAGGCTGTAAGGTTAATGGAGACCTTTCGTGTCGAGAATGAAAACAAAGGAAAGGCTGTACTGAAGATTACACTCTCTCCTTACAGAGAGGTGACTCAGTGCCTTATCACACACTATTTTCCAAAATAAATTAAACAAAACAGATTTAAGAATAGCAGCGAGAAGGGTATGTGTATTATGGCCACTCCAAGCCCCAGCATACTGGATACGCAGATCATCATTTTACTTTATTCCATGAAAACAAAGGAAAGATGTTCTTCCCAATGCTCTCCGCAGGGCCCAAGCTGAGGAAGATAATAAAACTCTGAACACTCTCATTTGGTCACTAGAGCAGGAGAAGGGAAGAAGGAAGAGAAGGGCCAGCCAGCTGCCTGCCTGATTTCAGCACTGCAATCTTATGACCCTTAACTGCATATTTAATGAGTTGGTGTCCCAGGCAAAGAGGAGAGGGGAGGAAGGCTGGGAGAACTCAGGCCACGGTGCTAATTCCTTTCCTGCACAAAGACAGTCTCTTGAGGGCACAGGCCTGCCTCCTGTAACGTGATCTCATAGTCCAGGTGGGAGAGTTTCCTTCGAGGGAAGTTGGTGAGAAGTTCAAAGCGTTCATTGGGGTATCCTTTTGACTGGACATGTTTCACAAGAGCCTGGAGAGAAAGAAAGGCAAAGAAGTGTCATATAATTCACAACAACACAAAAGAATGGAAAAAAAAAAAATCCCATTCTCCTTTAAAAAAAGGAAGTTTGTAATCACAGACGAAGGAAATGTTGAAATTTTCCATATAGTGTAGACCCTCTTTTACTTTCAGATCTAATTTGGCCCACACATGGTATGAATAACCATAAAAACTATTTACCAAGTGATCCCTTACCTAACTACTTTTTTAAACAGAAGACATACAGAACAGTACATTAATTCAAGCGAGCTGAATTCCATATCACACATTCAAGTCACAGAAAATAAGATTTGCAAAAAAAAAAATAATACCCTTAAGTGCCCCAAAATAGAAAGCCCCTCGCTTGTTTATCAGACATTACCCTTACACTAAACCTAAAAGCCACCAAAGAAGCATTTTTGTGAGGTAGCACTGACAAAAATAAATAAAATAAATGCAGTATTTTTACTGATTTTTTTTCCTGCCTTCAAGAAGCATGAGGGTTTGGGGTTGTTTTGGTTTTTAAAGCTCTTTTCCATTCATTGACTTCTCTGCCTACAACAGCAACTGGGGCAGGATACAGAGGGCGTTGGGATGAAGGGATATCAGCCTCACAACCCAACAAGCAGACGTATCAGGAAGAGCTAATGTCCATGCTATAACGAGGAGAGAATTCCCAAGTTCAGCAGCAAACACAGCAGATAAGAGCATAAAGTACAAATAGACAGGGATAGAGAAATGGAGACTGGCAGACGTGTAGGGGATACAGCAACAGAGCGAGACTCGGGCAAAATGAAAAGTCGTAGATTTTTAAAGAGGCAGAAAAAAGATAATTAGTATGTAATAAAACAGAAAGTATGAAAAAACAAGGGCGTCCCAACAATACCATTCACATAGTTTTGGTGGGTAACTTATGTCAGTAAATTAAATGTAAGGAGGTAAGCTAGCAATATTAAGCTTCTACCAGTACTAATTTTTCCCACTAGCTTCCCCTCGTTATTTAGCTGCCACTTTGGCACCACAGTGACCCAGCTCACGGAAAAAAAGCGGTTGCAAACAAGCACTTGGCGGTTACTGCCACAGCTCACAGGCAAGGGGCTTGGGAGATCAGTTGGGTGGCTGTTCATCTTAGTGTTTGCGTTCTGGTAGGAAAGCTTTTGGTCATATAGCACCGACGTGACACAGGAGATGATCACCCACAGCAGCCCGCAGCACTCTTCCTAATGTTTCAGGGGCATCAATGCCAACGGAGCACGTCAAGGAGCGGCATGAAGAGGTCAGCTTGCTCTGCTGCATCAGGGAAGAGGAGCGGGAAAGCAGTAGGATGCTGGCAGCAACACCGCAAGGGCAAGAACTGAGGCCTTGCAGTGCAGATAGAATGGGATGACCAAAAGCAAGACACACACGGGGAGGACAGCAACTTGTAAGATAAGGGATGCTGGAGACCTGTGGCAGCAAAACAGCAGCTCTCCTCTCATATGGAAAAAAAAAAAAAGATTAGTTGAAAAAATTATATAAAGTCTTGGCAATAAATGAGGAGGACAAACAAGTTCCACTGGAAGACACAACTGGACCCACTGATCGTTCTCAGCAGGGAAAAGCAGTGTGGGTTGGTGAAGGGGACTCCTTCCGCGGCAGACTGAGGCACCCAACTGCTGGTTTAACTCTGAGTCTCGGTAGTCTGCTGCTTTGCCTAGAGCCAAAATCTGGGACATCACAGAAAGACGGTCAAAACTCATCAAGAAAGTTCAACACGTGTCTGCAGTGTGCCCTTGCAGCAGCAACAGGAAACCTGAGCTGCATCAACAAGAGTGTTGCCAGCAGATCAAGGGATGAGATTATGCCACTGTTGGGCCACACTTGGAATACTGTGTTCAGTTTTGGTCCCTCCACATTTAAGAGGGAACAAGGAAAAACTGGAGAGGATCCAGTGGAGTACAGGACATGCCTCAGTACATGAAGAACGGTTGAAGGACTTGGATTTGTTCAATCTAGAAAGGAAAAGGCTTGGTGGGAATATCAATCACAGTGTTCCAATATAAAGAAGATGAAGGCGTTTCTTTCACAAAGAAGCATGGTGACAAGAGACGACATACACAAGTCGCTCCAGGGGAAATGTCGTCTGGATACAAGGAAGGAATTCTTTACTGTGAGAGAAATTAAACTTTGGAGTAAATTGCCCAAGGATGTGGTAGCATGTCCCTTGCTGGAAGTATTCTAGACTCAGCTTGAGAGGGCCCTGGATAACCTCATCTACAGCCCTACTTTCAACAGAGACCAAATGATCTCCAGGGATCCTTTTCAACCTAGGTTTTTCCAAGATTAGCGGAACAGCCAGGGAAATACCTGCATGGAGACTTCTTCTGAATTCATCAAAATCCACACACAAATTTTTGGTATGAGGAGACTGTTGCCCCAGTCTCCTCTGTTACCTGGACTGTTCTACAACAGGTTTTGCAGAATACAATGCCTGTTTCTGATGAGGAATCCAAGTAGGTGGGTCTGACCTCCTTTTCAGGCAACAAGGATGATCAAAATTCATTTGCAAACCACTGTATTTAAAAATTCAGCTAAGTTTACTGCCCACATCTCCCCCCTGTCCCATTTAAAGGCCAGCCTTTCCTGCACACCTTACAACGCTTGGTAAACAAGTTATTCAGGCAACCAGTCGATGAGGCAGACAAAGGGCTGAGCTGCTGAACAGAGTGAAGTCAGCTTACTTAATGGCACATAATGAACAACTGCTTCTATGAAAAGGCAGTGTTGCCTCTTTTTTTTTTTGCCTAGGGGGAAAAAAAGGATTATGGTAATATTGGAAGCATCCTGGAGATAACAGTGTGTAAAGAAGCCACTCTTGATTGATAACAATGTAATGATTAAAAAAAGTTTTAAAAAACAGGTAGCTTGGTGGGAGAGCAACATTGTATCATCAGTTAAAACTTCTAAAGTGCAACTGTCTCCTTAAACGGTTTCTTTTTATAGTTCTGGACAGCTTTAAAATGGAAGCAACTAAGGGCTGAAAAACATTAGAATGGAAATGATGCTCACAAAGAAACATCTGAGACTCAATCTTGATCTGACTGAAATGGAAATGGCTTTAAAAGATCACAGGAGGTGAGCACAAAAGCTGCCTGTTCAGTTCTGCAATGAAAAGATATCTTTACCCACAAACCTTGACTCACCTAAATTCCTCTGCTGACTGTAAAGCAGGCGGCAGCAAAGGAAATCACATGCTGAGATTAACTTCCTTTAACTACCCGCAGTCCATAAAAGGAGTCAAACCAGAAGTCCGGATTATCAGGAATGTATCAATATTACACCTATGTACCACCTAAATAAACTAGTTAAGTATTCCAAAGTGCTACATGTTTAATAATACACGCAAGTTTATTTAACAGACTGCTTTCAAAAAGCAGTTAAGATACAAAAGAGCACTTGGAAAAAGGTCACACACCGATGACTGCTACAACAAAGCAAAAATGAAGGTCTGAAAGTAAAGCTGGTTCCTACAGTAAGCGCAATGACGCTCTGCCAGTGTTCCTCAGTCTTTATATTTCAGCCCCAGGACTCCACACTTAGCATTGCAGGCAGTCTACAACCTACTCGCTTACTCTTGGTTTTGAGAGAGCCCATAGTGCAACAAAAGCAACTTTTTTTTTTTTTCATTTTCAAGCAAAAGAGTTAAGGATCAGAAGACGAGCTTGAGATACTGTACATTTCTAGAGGGTTGCAGACTAGGTTGTAGTCTCATTTTCTGTAAGAGACGGGACACTCTTCTCCTAAATCTGCAAAAGATCCTTCTGAACAGGTGTGCTTTTGCCTTCCCTAAGACTTCAATGCACAGCTTTTATGCTGATTACATTAAAATGAGCTTAACGTCACTGTGTAATGACAACTCACGGCTAACAGGAATATAGTGACCTCTTTACACACTGCTTCGAGATAAGCACCTGCAAAATTTTGATGGAAATGCCATCCACATCGACTTCTCCAAGGTAAAGAAGTCCAAAGCACAGTTGAGATGCACACCTGAAGCACAGTGATTAAATAATATTGCAATAAATTTGTTTCCGGAGAACTTCCTTCAAAGTCTGCTCTGCCATCCACATCCAGAAGTGAGTGTGGAAGTACGACGAAAGAGACAGAGAACAAGAATGAAGAGTTTTGCATTTGATTTTACCGTTGTCTGACCATGGGCAACGACTGAACTTTTCCATTTAGAAAAAAAAAAAAAAAACACAAATGAGTGAGCTGAGAGTATTTTATGGCAATTTAACGATTAATACAAAAGCCATTTAGAGTCATGTTAGAGAGGAAACTAGCAGTTTTGGGACTAAGGAAGACACTGAAGTGTACAGGCAACCCAAACAGCAATGCAAACAATATGGAGCCAGCAGTCTGTTGATCAGAAGAGAGAAATGACATGCAAGAAACACAATAGAATGACAGTGCTAGCATTGAATCCCTAGATTTTATTTCAAAAGTGCCACCACAGGCAAAGAAATTCCCCAGTTTCAGCTCTCCTGTACTCAAACAAGGATTCCAATTAACTCCACTCACCAGAAGTTTAGCTTGTTCGGGCAGTGAAATTTGTTCCCTCTTTCCATCTGGATACCTTAGCATCAGCTGTGCCTTTGGTCCTAGCATAAAGGAAGTTACTACAAGTTAACAAACAACAAGGCAGCTGAATTGAGCTCTTCTGTAGATTTTAAGTGGCATGCTTTACTGCACAGCATAGTGGGGTTAGGGACTGGAGCAAATACAAGGTTCCAGTCTATGAAGACACGCTTCTACCACATGTTTAAAATACACATCTCAAACTCAGGACTCTTGAAAGAGTCAGTAGTAGTGACTGAAACCAGCCAGCATTCCCAGAAAAAAGCACACTGTGCTACCTCTGCCTTTGAGACCACCTCCCTCTGCTGCATCCCAGCTCAGGCACTGCAGGGAGGAACACAGACTCTGGGGACTCGTCAGTATTAGCCAAAGTTGCATTACTAAAACTCACTCCAGACTGTCAAGGCAGCCAAGCTAACTGAGCACAAGGTGGGGCTGATGTTATTCTGCTTCTCTCTACCATCCCGGTGGAAGCTCTGTCATCTGCATCCGCATTACACTAATGCGTACTTTATTCATGCACAAGGTCTCAAACTAAGAAACTTGAGCTCAGTGACTAACACGACTCTGCAGTTTGTGGCATCACTATGCCAAAGCAGCGCTGCTGGCAAGGCGAATCGCTCAAATGTCTGTTGTCAAGGAGCGAGTGAGACAGAAGAAAAGATGTAGCTTTTCAAAACAAGAGATGAAACCTTCGCAGCGTGTAAAGATTTTCAGGGCAAAAAACCCAAACACATATCACTATAAAAGAAAAACAAAACAAAACAAAAAACATGGCAACTTACCATTCACATCTAGGCCCTGAAATGTACTTTCAGGTCTGTCAGTTGACTCCTCCAGCATCCCTGCATCAATGCAGGGCAGTACTCTGTGATTTGATGTTGTCCCAGGCTCAGTCCTTGCAGGGGGCTCAGGTTGAGCCCTCCGGCTCTCCTCTTTTTTATACCCCAAGTCCTTGTGCGGAGACTTCCTCAACTTGGCAGGATTCTCCGATTCCTCCTCCTCCTCAGATCCACAAACTGAAATAAACTCTTCGCTTCCAGAAAAAAGCTCTGACTCTGACTCCTCATCTGACCGACTCTCCTGCTTGGCCTGTGAGGAATCAAAATGCGTCTCCTGTAACGAGGCTCTGATAGCAGCTTCCAACTGGCTGTCTTCACTGGCATCAATGAGACTCTCCTGTTGAATACAGACATAACACAAATACATTAAGATTGCTTTTAAATATGTACTGAAAATCAAGAGGACATTAGTCTTCCAAAGAGAAGCTACTAAAACTGTCAGGAACAAGCAGTATGGAAAGCTAGTCATGCTGTGACTACTTAATGACTTCTCCTCGGAGTTTTGCACGGAGTAATACATTTTCCTTCCACACATGCACAATTCTGTGACTGCTACATCCAAAACAAATGCCGAAAGCACAAATCGCGCAGCAAAAATAGTTATCATGGGAGAAGGCATTCCCTGGCGTGCTGTATTTTTGCATGCTTTTGCATGAACTCATTAAGTCTGTTTATACTACTGCATGGGAAATCAGTACAGCTGGATAAAGACAGGCCAGCATGTTCTTTAAGGTTTCTCCAGTCCTCTAGAGGGTCTCATACTTACTGAACGAGAGCATTTTTGGGGAGGGCTGGTAGAATGGCCATCCAGCTGTCCATGCTCACCCAGGAACCCAGTCACTTGGTCCAAGAAAGAAGTCACATCTAGCTGGTGCCACTCCACTAGTTTCTGGCCTAGGGAACAAAAGGGGTCATAAAATATAATTTCAGCAAAAGACTGCAGCTTAGCAGTCAAACACACCAATTCACTGCTGTGCGTGCACTCTGCAAGAGTCTGTATTTGTGGAACTCCAGCTTCTTTCAGGCTATCACTTGATAATTGTGAAGCTTCCTCCTTCCACTCCCTTGAAAACGTTTCAATCATGGATAGGCATAAATACAGACCGTGTGTATTTCCGTTCTTTTCTTTTTATCTATGGGAATGTGTGCACAGAATGGTGGACTAGGCTTCAAAATGAAAAAAAGCCAAACCACTAAGTTTATGAAGAAGCATTTCTACATTCTTGCCTGCTTTGATTCTGCACCTTGGCAAAAAGCATTTGTTTCCATAAGTAAAGTGCTAAGAAGAGTAGCCTAACTTCAGTTTCAGCATTAAAAAAAAAAAAAGGTTTTGGGTGGTTTAAGTCAAATAGGAAGAAATCTCAGCTCTGATTAGAGACACTATTATTTCAGTCCTGAGAAGTAGGAGACCAGACCATTAATATAGTTGCATTATATGATGATAAAGGAAGAAAAGGTGTGTTGGGATACAAATGAAAAAGTAACAATTCCAAAAGAGATGGAGGGGGAGGTTTGATTGATCAGGCAAAAAAAAAACCCAAACCAAACAACAAACCCAAAGTCAAAATGGTATTTCAAACTTAAGATGCAATTTAATAAGTCATTGTTGAGCCTCAAAAAGCTACTATGCAAGGAGCAGGAAGCAGATTCATGTAACGCTTACAAATATTGTAGTTTATTCATCATGTGATTTCAAGTAGCTTTTAAAAGGACACTTTAAAAAATAAAACCTCAGAGTTTTACCACCAGGTGGTACTATTTTCACTTTCTAAGCAAAGTACTCGCTAAGCTACACCAAGTACGATAACCAAATACACAAGACTTTTGCAAGCCTTGGGAGTTTTATTCCCTTAGTTCCTCCAAAACATGCTGCTTCACTTCTTCAGCGACAACAAGGTCTCAGAGAGCAAAACAATGTAACTGAGATTCTTCAGCTGAATGTAACATGTACTGTGAAAGATGGTATTCTAGCCTACAACTGCCAGTCCTTCTCATGGGATATATAAACTGCAGGTAGCCAACTGTCACTTATCTTACCTGTCCGGGGATCCAGGATGGAGACATAAGGGAAGTCTGCTAATTTATAAAACTGTATGTACCTCTGTCCTTCCTCACTGTCATGGTACACCTACAAAATACGACGTTGGAAGTAAATTACTGGGCGGAGAGGGAACACAAACAAACTGCACCTTGTACAAAGTTTTCCTCTGTTTTACAGTATACGCTATAAATGGTACGTACAGTTCTCAGTAACTCGGACAAGGTGAAAATATGCCTCTAATGCTCCACGTGTTAGAAGCTACATGGTAACATCTTGAATGCACAAGTGAAAGGCAGATTATGCATTCAAATGCATATCCATGAACTACATCTACATCTATAAACTACATCTCCATGAACTACTGCATCTTTTCTGCAAGTTCACCAAGAGAACTGCAATAGTGCCATTTTATTTGAAGCCTGGTTTTTTTCATTGCCCCATCTACCAGGACACCAAGTTATCTGTACAGCCCCATTAAATTTCTCACCTGCCAAAAAATGAAATGTTCCCGGATTATGTTCTTCACAGCCTCATTGCTCCAGACATCGCGGTTGAGACACTGACAGGCAAAATCTTGCACATTCTGAATGTTTATCATGAGCCATTTGTTCTGCATCTGACCACACTCCTTGGCCTGTAGGCAGAGAGAAAAACTTCATTAGATAAAACTGAAGAGCGAGACATAACCAATGCCAGCAATGATCAGTGATGGCTTCTAAACACTGTCAGATTTTTCACCAAAACCCCTTCACAGTGGGAAAGATGGACAGTGCTAGTGAAAAGGCATCCACAAAACAGAAGTCAGGGCTGAAAGACCTGCTTTAAATGAGACTGGTTGTATTACAGAATCACATCGATGAACAGAGCTGCTGGACGTCAACAAGCCAAGCACAGAGTGGGAAAAGCAACCTGGGGGGGGGATCACGGGGATGCTGAATAAAGTATTTGTTTGGGAAAGAGGGTAAAAAAAACAATCACACTGATCTGACAACAGAGGAAAGACCTGCTCATTCTAAAGATAAACCTGTGGATCATCTTCTATTTTAGTAGGTTGCATAATTGACCAAGGACTTGCATTAATTCAACAGGACCCCCTCTCTCTCCGTTTTCTTTTTTCTCTCCAAGTTTTGAGTTACTCTATTACTGTGCAACTGCCGAATCAGGCATCCTTTTTTGATGCTCATTATCCAGACTGCAAGTGGGGAGGAAGACAGGAAGGCGCAGGAAGAAATCTTACTGGTTTGAGTCACAAAGCTGGCATTGTCTGATTGCTTGGTTGCAAGTTAATGGTAGGAGTTTGATCAAGAATGTAATTCTGATCGCTGAACTGTCATACCTGTTGAAAAAAAGAGGGCTATATCAACAGAAGGAATGCACTTA